CAGTGGATAAAAAGCATAGTATTTATTATTAATGAAATTAGTGATCCCATTACAACAAATACCGAGTGGTAAGTGCATTCCCTACGATATGCAATACTGTTCAGTGTGGTTGGGAGACCCAGTTGATGATTTATTAATTCACTAAGAATTCTAGCTTTGCCTTTCAGCATGACCCCATGTTCTCTGCTCACAGATCCCCCCTTCCCCATGTACCTAAATAGGCTGCTTCAAGGAATGGATTGCTGTGACTGACATATATCCATCTACTTTTAAACCAACAAGAAATCAAGCTTTCATACTGAATTTCACACAACCAGAAAAAGCTTCAGGCCAAAGCCTAGGCAATAAAAGGAAAGCAAGGGCTGTCATTCATAAGATTTTTCAAAGACAAAGCCACATTATTTGTAGAAATGCATCTGAATGCTTGACCTGAGAGTTTTCCCCTTTTTCTTTGGAGTATATTTATGCATGTACCACAGGGATGGGCAACTTGTGGCTCTCGACTATCAGTTTATAAAACCCACCAGCTCCAGTTAGCAGATCAGTACTGATGGGTGGAACTTGCAGGGAAATTCTGGAAACCAACTGGGGGTCGCAAGATGCTCACCTGCCTGGCATCCTTGAAGAGCAGCTGCTGGACTGCAGGCCGGAAACTGCAACTAGGGCTGCCTGATTGAAAGCAAATGATGCCCTCTGCCCCCTGAACTGTATTACCACCAGATACTGGAAATCTTCAGTGTCTGCAAAATCTTTTCATTTTGTTTGCTATAGACATTCCAAAATAACTGCCCTAATTCTAACTGGAGAAGCCTGTGGAAGCGATTAAAACCATTAGAATGGGTGATGGCGCTGATGCCTCTCCTTGATTTTGTATGAACAACAGATCAGGCTTTTTTGCTTAAGGGCCTTCTACCACAAGTGCATTATCACCAGTTCTCGAAGTCTGCATGGCTTTGGACACAACAAGAATATGAAATCCTCTTGAGGTGGATGTGCTCCGGTCCGCTGTTTGGCAAAGTGACAATGTAGAGTTGCTGGGAGTATCCTTTTATTTGAGAAATTTCTAAGCTTTCTTTCCAAGGTTTTGCAACATGTAGCACAGTAATCATCATTTTAAGTTGTAAAACACCCAGCTAACATTAAAATGCATATGAACTAGAATAACCAGACACCAATCTAGGGCTCAGAGTGCTTGCCAGAGCCAGGGTCAGTCACTGGATTGCCAGCTATTTGTTTCACAAATGGGAATTGCAAATTAACAATGGCTGGAGGCCAGTGAGATTAGATCAGGCTGATTGCTAGATGGCCCAGAGCCAATGACAATTTGGAGTGACTTGAAGATGCAAAGTTCAGTAACCTCAATATTCAGGACATAGGCCCACTCAGAACTAAGTCCAATGAAATTCTATGGGACTTGCTCCCAGGGAAGCAGGCAAAGCATTCCAGCCAGCCAGTTTAGTTTCTGTTATTGTAAAGATTGTAAAGCGCTTTGCAAATAAAATGAATATGAAAAAATAATTTCAGTAACAGAAAACTCAAGCTTAATCTCTCCTATAGTTAACCTATGTCTTTGTATGTTTGCAAGGGGGAAAAGGTTTTTGGTCCCCCCTGCCTGCTAAATTCTGGCACGAATTCTTCTAAAGTTCAGAAGTGTCATTAAAATAATATACTCCAAATTTGCTGGCAGGTGAGCACAGAAGTTTTGGGCTTTCAGGTAATAAGTATTCATTGCATAGTGTAGCTTAGGAATCAAAGCCAATATCCTAAAATACATTCCATGACTGTGCCAGTAACATCAAATCATATCTTTAAGTCAGTAAGCAATTCCATGGGTAGTGATCTTACTTAGAATCAGGGTACTCTTTCACTGATTGTTGTACCGTATTGTCACTGATTGGTTTCTTGCAAGAATCAAGGAAGCACATGTATAATAAATAAGCAAGCCCCATTTGGAAAATTACATAATTTATGGAACTCATGATTAACTGTAGATTTAATTTCTTCATGTCTAGACTAGTGTGTTCAGGCTGCTAATTCGGAGACACATTTATATGAAATATAGATATAATACATCAATTAAAATAGCTGCAGTCTTCTCTTTAAAATCACAGAATTGGTGTCTTTCAAAGAATCAGCTCCCACCTGCATGCATTTTAAAGGGAAAGGACTTTAGTTGGAATATGCATGCATCCTTCATAATGAATGCAACATGTGTCAATTTTGTAATATACTACTCTAAACTCTCATGTAAAACGCTTTGAGAAAATGAACTGCTAAATGAAAATTTATCTTGTTACTTTCTTCTAGTGTCTTCCCTGGAACATTGGATAAAAGTATGTGTAAATGTCAAGTTTGTTCTTTTCCATGACTGCTAGGAACGAAAACTTTTTTTTTCCTCAGTAAATCAAATGTGTATTTCAGGAAGGAGCATATTTCATTGAGTTGATTTTTACTACTATTCATGGGAATATGTAACTGATCGTTCATGTGCTTATTCTAGAAGTACTCTAAATAGTATTAAAGCTAGATTATGTCTTGGTTCAGAAACTTATCTCCTGGACAGTCCATTCATTTGGTGAAGGATCAGGCATCTGTCCCACAAACCTAATGTAATATATGATCCAGCTCCCATTATGCACATGGGCCCAGTTAATAACCTTCTTCTCTTGTTGCAAAGTGGGATGGCAGGGGCAGAAATGACTCTGTCTCTGCATGTATATGCTATTATGGAGAGCCAGTGTGGTGCAGCGGTTAAGAGCATGGGACTGGGACTCAGACGATCTGGGTTCTAGTCCCCACTCAGCCATGGAGCCAACTGGGTGACTTGGGCCAGTCACAGACTCTCAGCCCAACCTACCTCACAGAGTTGCTGTTGTGGTGATAAGATGGAGGAGGAGATGTAAGCTGCCTTGAGCCCTTTGTAGGAAAAAGGCAGGATATAAATCAGAAAATAAATAAATGGAGGGCCCACATCAGGTTAATTTAAGTGCAGGAGAAGAAAGGCAGCCATCTGTTCCTTCCCCGTGCAAAAGGAGCAGCTGATTAAGCAACCAGGAAAGCATCCATAACCTTTAAAAAAGGCGGAGCTCTTACTGTTTCATAATAATCTTTTCTTATGCATTCATCTTTACCAGTAACCTAGTCTTTGCTCTTGCTCTGTCTTCTACATAGCAAATAAAAGCCTGCATGCAACAAAGCAGCATCTTGTTTCTAGCAAGCACAGGAAGAGCCTTCTTACTACTGGTTACCACACAACAGTGTGAGAGTTTAGGTCTTCATGGTGTTAAGCACTGAATGGAAATTCCAACTGACCCACCTTGACCACCTCCAAGCCCATAACCATCCCCCTTCCATACATGTTCCTGGGTTAAAGGGCTGCTGTTCCCTGTGATCATGCAGCAATACTGACGGGTAAACAGGGCAACATGCGCACACGGATCGAGGTTTTAGGTGTGCCTCTTCCTCTGCTGCCACAGCAGAGCAGAGCATAAAGCTAGGCTGCTGGTTGTGCTTCAGTAATTCAAACGCATTGAACATCAGATGAAAAAATGATTAAAAGGTTGTATAATTTTCTTTTGGATATGAAAATGGTAGATGAACAAGTTAAAGAAACTATAACATGGGCACAAAACTTTGGATATAATATTGAGTTACAGAAATGGCAAAAGCTGTGGGAAAGAAATATTAAGATAACCCTAGCAACCTTATATAAACATTAGAAACATTAAAAATGTTTTATAGATGGTATTTATCACCAAACAGATTAGCAAAAATGTTTCCAAATATGTCAAATAGATGTTGGAAATGTAAACACAAGCCTGGTACTTTTTATCATTTGTGGTGGGCTTGTGTCAGGCAAAAAAAATACTGGGTTAAAATACACAAATGGCTTGAGGAAATGCTGCAAAAACCTTTAACATTTAAACCTTAAGTTTTTCTATTAGGTATTATCCCTGATGACTTCAATAAACAAGCTATATATTTGACTTTACATATAATTACTGCAGCGAGGATTGCATTTGCCCAGCATTAGAGACTCAAAGAGCCACCTACTGAAGAGTTGATTTTAAAAAAGATTTTGGATTGTGCGGAGATGGACAGATTGACTTTGTCTTTTAAGGAGAAGGAAGATACATACTTCTATCAAACTTGGAACACTTTTTATCATTGGTTAGAGAAACGGGACTATGCGTAGAATTGAATATGGTTGTTGAGTATAAAAAAGAATGAGATGTCGACCCAGTATGTCCGATGACCTGAATAATTGTTGTTTTAGTTTTGGATTTATATGCACTTTTAATAAAATTACATGGTTATGTTGTTATCCTTTACACAACCACTGATTATGCGTTTCACAATACAAATAAGAGCACCTTTCTTTCAACACCTGTACAATATTTATTTACTTTTTCATTCATATAGATATGACATGGTTTGTATTTACTAAATAACTGGATTGAAAAATCTGCTAATTGATATTCACTGAAAGGAAATTACAAAAATTGCAAATTTTAATTGAAGTACACATGGGACTTAGGTCATTTTAAGATCTACAGTGCCTAGCCATTTCTGTTTCTTTCTGTCTGACAAAAAATGCAAGCTCTTGGTTGACCAAAAATGCATGGAGATAATCTATTTTCTTTAAATAATAGTGCAAAAAAATATGTTGAGCCCTTTAGCAAAACAAGCCAACAATGCCCTCCCCTGTAATTTTCCAGTTAAATATGAACAATAACTTCTTGGGTTAGTCTGCACCATATGTTATTATCTCCATCAAAAGCTGCATTGCAACAAGAGATCAGAGGAAATGCTCATGTTGTTTATGCCTAATAAATATGATTTGTTGGATGGTCTGAACATCCCTATTACTTAAGTAACATAGTTTGAAGACAGCATGAAAGCCATAGACCTAAAGTCACTTAGCAATGGATCAGCCCGAGATAAAGAAATAATAAAGAACATAAAAGGACAATAGTGGAAAAAATCACTTACGACAGTTATTTTCTAAGATATGAGTTTTGTTAATTTATTTGGGTGAGGGACCAAAATGGATCTAACGGATTCAAGCATTTGTGTAGTAAGCTGACTGAAGAAAAAAGTGGTGGCAGGGGATTGTGCTACATTATCAGGGATTATGTCTCCCTCACTTTTACTAAAATACATCAGCTGATTGGTCAATGGAGTTAGACATCGCGAAAAGAATTAGCTGCAGCAGCATCTGACCTACTACAGTCTTCACAGTTATCCTCCATTGTAATCTTGCTAACTTCAACATAGTTATGTTATTTGAGGCCAGAAAGGATTGTGTTTTAGGTATCTGGAATTTAGAAGTCTCCTAATTCTTGCACCTGATACAATATTTGTAAAGAAGCTCATTATTTTAGGTATAATTAATCTAGATGTTATTACAGCATTTTGCCAAGTCCAGAAAATACACTGTCACGGTCTCTTTTGAGGAGCTGGTCAGAGGCATAAGTAAATTAAGATCTGGGGTTCTCGTCATCCCAATCGAAGTCTAACACAGCATCATCTAAATCAGCTATTGAGAACAAAGATTTGCCTGTACCCATGCTGCCTTCTGTCAGTTCAAAGGACTTCTTTGTGAGGCCTACGCTGTCTGTTTGAGCCTTGAGTGGCTGCCTTTTTCTGTCCTCATTACTGGGGACATGCACAGTGACGGGAGGCTCTGGCTTCGATTCAGGTGGTGGCACAAAGGCAAACCTAGCTAACCTAGCCAATGTACTAGAGCACACTTGTTTTGTGTTCAGACCATCCAACTTTCCCCCTCCTATTCCTGCCTTTTTTGTGGGCGAAGGAGGAAAAGCTTTATTTTGATGCTTGGCCTCTCGTTTGTCACCACAGGATTGTTCCTCCGCACTCTTATATCCTGTATTAGCATTGTGTTCTTTTTCATATTGCTCTGGACATTCTTCTCTTAGGCTCTCTCCATCTGATACATTTCTGGTAACGGTTTGGTTACTCTCAAACTTGGGCAATTTGGCGTGATCTACATGTTCAGGAGAATGAGCAAGCTTTGGCTTCTGCTTAAAGGAAAACTTCGCTAGTTTAGCAGGTGCAGGTCCTGAGTTCTCAAGGAGTTCAGGTTCATTGGAACTTTTTACTATGCTTCCTTCCTTTGTTGAATCTCTCTTTCTCTTCCTGTTTGAAAATACCATTTTAGGATGCCTTAAAAACATACTGTGAGATGGGGACGCATTCATGTCTGCTAAAGAGCTTTCTTGGGTGACTGCTGGCTGAGCAGATAATGAAGCTGGAGAACCCTTTGCCTTGGGATCTGGTGTACTTGCACAAAATCCACGAGCCTTTTCGGTGTTGATCTTGTGCCATTTCTTAGAGGCCTTCTGCATAATCACTGAGTCAGGTAGAGTAGAACATGAAATATTTGCATCCTGGTTGCTGGCTTCTGAAGGGACACTTGTGGGCTTGTCTACCCCCTCCGGACCAGAAGCAACCTGTCTACCAAGATTTCCTGAGGCTACTGTTTTCAGTGATTCCACCTTCTCAGCTTGCTTGGCTTCCCTTAAGCAATTTCTCTCTTTTGAACAGGGTTTGTTGCTTGGTGCTTTCAAAGTCAAACTGTCTTGAGATGTAACTGGAGACTCATAAATGCTCTTCTCACTCCCACCCACTATACTATCAAACCAGTCCAAGCTGCTCTCACCGCTGCTCTCACCAGGTTTGTTGCTCTGCTCTGTTACTCTGGTTTCTTCAGATTTTTGGCTGCTTAACAAAACTGGATGCATATCAGCTGCAGGGTTTGTTTTAGCTGAGACTGGTTGCAACTCAGTATTATTTCCCACTTTGTCTGAATGCTGGGGATGAGACAGCTGCTCTGATTTCCCAGATGTGCCATTCTTTGGAGATGTTGCTTTTGACTGCAGAACCTGACATGAATTTTCATTCCGTAATCTACAAATCAGAACAACATACTTTACAAAGGCAAGCTGCAATTTTTTAAAGAACCTTTGAATGCAGAATGGGCAGCACTTCAAAGGCAAAAAATAGTAACTACAAAACTTTTCACAGCTGAAAAACTTTACAGGACTTTTTACTTCATATATAAATAAACATTCTTAAACATTCTTTACTCATGTTTACACAGAAGTTAAGTTTGCTGTCTTTAGAAGGTCTTTAGAAAGTATTTTTGGGATTGCTAGTAAATCATGGTGATTTTGTATATAAAAAACAAGTAAATAAAGGTAAGCAACTTCCTACTGAGGCATTCATCCTTCAGCATCAGATCCCTCCAGGACATTCCCTAGGGTTAGTGGTTGTCATGGGGCATTGTCTGTTCTTGCAACCTGTATGTGGCCCGAATCCACCCTAACTGGAAAAACCTTTTGTTTTCCCTCCCTCATGTCTATTACCTGTCAAGCCTTTTCAGCTCTTTATTCAGGAGGTCTTGCAGGTCCAACCTTTCCAGAATTAGTCCACACTGCACTCGGTATTGCTCCACTGGATTTTCAGGAAATGATGTGTGCAGTGCATTGACACCTCCAAGAAGTGTTCCACCCTACAGAAATAAAGGAAGTATGGTGTAAAAGACTTTCATTGGATAGATGCATGCAACTCCAGGAGTAATTGGTGTAACTGCAGTATGGTGACTTGCAGATTTTCTAGCATCAGATAAAATTATTTGCCTCTGAGAGCCTGTACCCTGAGTGTATATAAAGAAACATTAAGAGAAAAAGCCTTGTGGAAATTCTGGCTTCTTTGGATTGGATTCAAAAGTAAGTTAACTGAGGGTGCAATGCTGTGCATGTTTAACAGAAAGAGGCCATGCAGTTCCCCTCGTGTCCCAACTAGAACTGCTAAGACTCGCAGGACTCTTTTCTGTCTAAACGTACACATGGTTGTGCCTGTAAAGAAGTTCCAGGAAGACCAGTTTCAAGACTTCTCACCGCTTCCCCTTATAGGCCACTTGGGAAGACTGGGAGATCCTCATAAACAATGTGGGAGGACCAGGAGAGAGAGGGGCATTTTCCTTCCTTACCCTTGAGCAATACCCCACCCCACATCAATTATACTTTTTAATAACTACTTTTTAAATATTACCTGCTATTCAATATGTAATTATCATAACATAAAGATATGCAGTTATCTTAATTAATAACCACAGAAAACCTCTGAAACCTTCATTTGGAATACATCATAATTATCCAAAGATTGTGCTATGGACACAGTGTATTCACACCCACCCTTTTCCAAAATGTACATGACTAGAAATACAGCACTTGAATGGGAAGAAGGGAGGGGAAATTCAAGAAAAAAGGGAGACATCTGCAAGTATGAGGGGCACTCCCAGTTTATTGGCCAGAGTTAAGAGACTGGGAAACCTTATATCACTAATGAGCCACAATGGGACAGTTCATACAACATGGCAATCCACCCTGAAGAAGACACCGTAGGTTGGTTGTTTGCTTGACAACCCATGTTACTGTTGGCAGACAATGCTAAATGGAAAGAGAAATGTGCCATGAAGGCATTTGGGTATGACTTAAGGCAGAGGCATCTTATTTCCATACTCAGACATGCATAACAGAGGTCAAACATCTGAACAACACCTAAAAGACTGGTACACAGTAGCAAGGCAAGGCCTCTTTGTACAGTTGCTCTCTAAAATGAAGTAGGCGAACCAAGTAGTGCTCTGAAAAGGGGCAGCAGCTGGAGCTTGTGATCATATCTTTCCCAGAGTTATAGTCTGTAAAAGGAAACTTACTTGCATAGAAGATTCCATCACTGAAACCACAATTATTGCATCTTCCACAGTTACAGTCTCTCTAAACATCAACCGAGCATGTGCTAAAAGATCGTTAAAGAAAGAAGTTCAGCCAATGTTGCTGAAGTTGATAAGCAAAGAATGACATTAAACGCATTGAATCCAGGGGCCATGACTCAGAAATTTTAGGTAGGATTGTAATAGCAATCATTATCTTCCTAACTAATCCTTAAAACATGACTTTAGTGTGAAAGATTGCATAGAACTAGAAGTACAGTGGGAAAATAGATACGCTGGGTAGCCTTTCAGAAAAACTGGCAGCCATTTGTCATATACACCAATGTCTGGGTATGCTGCTGATATTTTCTACTTCTTAGGCTAGACGAATAGTACCGCAAGTCTGCTCTTTCCACAGTGGCTTATTTTAAAAGCTCCCTCTGGGTCAAGCTGTGATTGTGGATATCCAGATCTGGTTGAATCTGCTCTGTGTATATCAGGTGTCATTCATTCTACCATTCATTCATCAACAGTGTTGGATTCATTTTTCTGGGATGTGGAAAAAACTGCAATTTTCAACTATAAGTTTTGTGGCAATTTACATAATTTTCATTAGTATGTAACATTTAGCAAACTTCCCCCCATTCCATCCAGTTCCCATGAACAGACCACACACAAAAAAATGCTGAATGGAGCCTGAAAAGATATTGGAAAGTACAGAATGTGTGTTTTTTACAAAATGTTGTATATATTTGTGTATTTTTGAAAAATGGCATGTATGTTTCTATGGTGCATGTATCAGGGAAAACCTTCATAATTTACAACAAATAAATCTGCATACATTTTAAGAAGGTAAAAAATGGTCTGAATGTCCTTGGACCACACGACCCAAGAAAAGCAGTCTTCTGTGGAATCTGCAGGTCAAATACATGAAAGCTCATTTTCATCCATCTTGAATATTTCCAGCATCCTTAGTCATCATCCAGCAAGTCCTCCCTTTGGGCCTGTTATGACTGGCTCAGAAGCTACAGTAAGCTTTATACATGGTGAAGCTTGGGCAACTTAATACATCTTGGAGTTCCACGTGGTAGATTCAATATTTAAAAGCCTTCTAATCCATGATCCAGCTTGCACACGGGAAACCAGAATGCTCACTGCCTGGAACATACAGGATGGAAGGGGAACACCTCATGTGCATGAGCTGGTCCAGGATAAGAGACTTTTGCTATATATACACCACATGGTGTGCCAATACATAGATGTTTTTGCCTCTGGATGGAAGTGTCAAGCCTGTTCATGCACTTAGGAATTAAGCCTAATGAGTGGATAAACTGTGGCTCCAGAGGCTTCAGTGAATGTTTTGTAACTACTAGGATAGAAAAGGCCAAAGTCTCACCTTCAGCCAGTCGTATCAAACTCTCCAATAAGCGAATGGTAGTTCGGGCAGCATTTCTGCAATCACTCTGCCTTTGCATCTGATAATAGCGGAGAAGGATCAGGTTGCTTTCATCAGTCAATACTGGCTGTAGGCTCTTTACAAGGCAGAAGTATGTCTTCATTTTTTCCATAGTCCACAGCTTTTCAGACATGTTTGGGCAGCCTGCAAAAGAAGAATTTTTGAAAGCAGTCAGATTGCTCAATAAAATAACATATGCAAATTTTCAACAAAGTTTAGGATACAGATTATTTGGGCAGAAGTGCATTGGAATGTTGGAAAAATCCAGTGAGGCAATAACACTCACATTTTATCTACTCAATCTCTCTCATTTAATTAGTCTTCAGATATTTTGTACATATGTTCATACAACCGCAAACAGGACTTTTCAGGTGTGATCCCAGTGTTTGTTCAATTTAGTGGGAGCAAGACTGTAATACATCCATCCGAATTTAGCCAATAACACTATTTGGGATATCCCAGAATATTCAAAGTTCTTCTGTGTTACCTCTCTCTCTTGGTGTCTCCCTCCCTCTCTCACACACACAGAGGCAGAAAGTGTTTTGAACTGTCCAATATTCTCACGTATGAAAGTGCACAAGGCTTTAGGCAGCCTCATCCACCTGCACTGCCTGAGTTCCACTGCTAAAAGTTACATCTTGAAATGACTACAGAGATTTTTTGGTGCAAAACTTCGAGATAATTTCATAGATTTTTAAAATGCCAGTGCTGATTGTAAATAGCAAGGTCAAATTAAATCTCATATCACACTGCATTTAAACTTTTGTCACAACTCTTTTACTATTGGAGTGGAAAAAAACCCACACTTGCTCATGCCAGTACTGAAAATACGAATGCTTTAAAAAGATGTGTAAGTGCATGCATTTTCTTTCTGAAGAACACAAGAATACTTCTCTTGGCAAAAGTCTTTTTAAAATAGCAGCAGACAAATGAAATTTTAGACACAGGAAAACATACTAGATCTTCCTGGCTGGCAATATCCAAAGTTTGCTTTTAATCATGTTTAAAAGTTTTATTTATTACATTAAAAGCCTGTTTCTTTTCCTCCAAAGGTGCAAAGGCAGCGTATCTTTTCCTCCTCCTCTCCATTTGATCCTTACAATGACGTGTGAGGTTTGTTAGGAGGGAGCAATCTCAAAGCACCCCCGGCGCTCCAAAGACAGTCGGGTGCGTGTACAGCGTCAGCTACATTTTATAGCAACCTTCCCCAAAGTGGCGCCCTCTAGAAGGCCATGCTGACTGAGGGCTACGGTGTTGTGGTCCACTTCTCAAAAGGACAACAGACTGAGAAAGCCTTTGCATATAATTAACTGAAACCAGATTACCTTTATTTTCCAATACAAAGGAAGAAATGATGCGATCCCATTCTTCATTTCTTGTATCCAGCAACACCAAAACAAGATCAAACCTGCTAAGTAGGGGACTTCCGAGGGCTATGTTCACAGAGACAGATTCATTAGGGTCATATTGGCCCTTTGGATTGGCTGCTGCCAAAATACTTGTCCTTGTGTTCAGTTTGCACACCAAGCTGAGAAAGAAAATCTACATTAGCTCCAGCGGCAAACAGAAACAAGCTATCAAAAATAAAATAAAAAGATGTTAAGCACATGCAGGAGTCACATAAAAGAAAAAGAAATAGCAAATAATAAAAAGACTTTCAGTTAGCAGTGAACCTTGCAGTAAATTCTAGACACATTCTTTCTGTCATTTCTGCCTCTGACCATCCAACCTCCAACAGCATTCAGCTACCTTTTTATTTTGAAAGGCAAATACAGCTCCTGGTGTCCAGCCATCCTTCCTTCATATGACTTCCAGGGCTAATATTGAGCATGGACACGGGGCATGCACACCCAGTTGTTTCCAGCAGCCTCCCCAGCATAGGTGCATCACAGTGGAAAAGGCGCAGGCTGGAAGGGAGCTGCACACAGTGCCGCATTGGTGCGCCCCAGGTAATGCAGTGCCAGGTGAAGGCAGAGGCAGTCCTACTTGGCAGGGCCGCTCGGTGGGGAAGGGCTGGCCCCAGCACATCAGATCGGAGCCGCAGGGCTGCACAGGGCAGAGGACAAAGGCGGAGCGGGAGCTACACCCATGGTTTAAAAAGCAAACATGTTTTTCTTGCATGAAGGAGAAAGCAGCACACAGGAGAGAGCGCTTGCTCCTATTTGTTTTCTCAGCGTATGTGTGGACCAAGAGGCAGGAGGGTCTGAGTGAACAGTCAGCATGCAGGGTTAAAAGTTTTTAAAAGCCAAGTGCATTTGTATGAATGAGAGTGCTACCGTGGCTGCTGTGCCCCCCACCGATGCGTCTACATTTAAGACTTAGAAAATGGTTCCCTCTTTCTTTGGAGCATTTCCCTTTTCTTTGTTGCACAAGTCTTTATATGTCTACTCAGAAGAAAGCCCCACTGAATTCCACTAGGAATGGTTCCTAGGTAAGTGTGTATAGAGCTGCAGCCTTGATTCCTCCATGTCCTAGTTACGGGGGCACACGTTGTTTTTGTTTAGATGGGATGCTCTTTAGAAGTGGAAAGGGGTGTATTCTGGATGCTCAGACCTTGTGTAATCCATGCTTAAGCTTGCTTCCTCAGTGGCACGGGGGGCTGTGCAGGGTGGGGAAGGATGATCACCTAAAGGCAGGTATTTTTTGATACTCGGAAATTGGTGCCCAACGCTTGCCAGAATTTTGGATGTTTTTCTGTGTGGCTTTAGGGATATTATCATCATCAACATCTTGGGGTCCTGTTTTGCAATACACTGCTCCTGAGTTCCATTTCTGCGATTTCTGGGTGGATGTGTATGCCTTTTTGGGGGGAGGCTGAATGACGGGGTGCCTGTGCGTACTGTGCGTGTGTAAAGGGGGTGTTTGTGTGTGTCTGGCAATGGGATTACCTGTGGCTGTGCACAGAACCTGCCATGCTTTTCCCTGAACAATCCAGTCCTCCTTACTTCTTACAAGATATGCGTAAACTTCAATTTTGTACTGTGCTGGTTCTCAGCAGGCCTGCTCTGCTGGATGCTTTTGGATGGGTTTACAAATACATGGGGCTTTGGATGCTCTTGGTGCCTGCGCTTGTCTTCCAAAGGCTGCTTTTCTATGGGGCTCTGCAAATATCTATTATTGTTGTTGTTGTTATGTAATAATAACATCCCCTCCCACTCATCATCTTAAGAGTCTTTTCATTCACGGTGGAAGGGGAGTTGTTGGTGGAACAGGAGAACGTGGGTCCGAAGGAGGACTTCTGTGCGGCTGAGTGAATGCTTTGTGCCTCAGTTTACTCAGCTCTGCCTCTGGAAGCCCCTTGGCTCCACCTCTCTGGACCTGCCTCTGCCCCACCCACCAGACCGGCCAGTGGTCTCCACGGAGTGTATGCACGTGGAAACTGATGAAATCCTCCACAGGGAAAACTCATGCGGCATTGAGGCCACGCTAACAATTTTAAATTGGCACAGTCTCATGCAGGGATGGGCAACTTGTGGCCCTCCAGCAGTTTGGACTACACTCTCATTTCCCCTGATGGATGTGAGTTATCCCACAATATCTGGAGGGTCACAATCGCCCCTCTTTAACTGGTTAGCTTTTGATCTGTCTGACCAGTATTTTTTTTCCAGATAGCTAGAATATAAGCCTGAAAGACTAGCACAGACACCAGAAAATTCCAGATTCAGCCAGGATCGGCCCATAACTCATCTAGTCCCATCCTAACTCCACAGCAACCTAGCAGGTGATAATCTGGCTTCAGCACCTAGCCTTACCCAAAGGATCAATAATTAAATAATTCACCAATAATAATTAACTAACCGGTAATTAAATATGGACAAACCTAAAACTTGATTATGTGCAGATTGTCACATACAAAAACATTCTCTTATGCTCTTCTCTCTGACACTCATATATATTACTCGATGCCTGACCATACATACTCTCTTCCTCTCACATACCCAGTTGCAAACATGCAGATCACTGTATGCAAACTCAGAGTTTTAGTGTACAAAGAATGTGTAAAACAACCCTGTTCATGAGTAAATCTGTGACAACATTTTATCACAGTGTATATATTTTTCCTCCCCATTTCACTTGACCTTGACCCAAGGTTTGTTTTCAGAGCTCCAGAAGGGTGTTTTTGTCCAAGGAGTCACAGCATAGGACTTTTGCTGCAGACATCTACACAGCTGTTCTAAATCTAACTTAGAAGTAATCTATTTCTAGTTGGTGCCATCCTAGCTCTTTCCTCATGCATCAAGCGGAAACAAGTGCAGCACCAATAATCTTAGCTTTCATATTGGTACTACGTAACATGGGAAAAGTATTTTGATCCCTTGCCAGTAACAACACAGATTCAAAAAAGAAATCAGTGTTGATCCTGCTCCATAATGCCTTCAGGATTTCTAAATATGGAAGTAAAAGGTTGAAGCCCTAGAACACATACTTGAAATGGAAGAAGGGTCTAAAATTCCATCTGTAACACTAAAATGTTTCATTGCTCTTCTGACTAAAAATGGCTTTTCCCTGAAAATAGTATCCAGTAATGGTTATTTTAAGGCGGTGTTTATGTCCAATCTTATATTGGTACATGGAAGACATAAACAGGAGATCAAAGAATGTTTTTCCCCCATCAGTGCTGCTTTTGTGTACACCATTCAGAATAAACACCAAACAGCACAATCAACTCTTGAAGTACAATCCTATGATGGGGCTAGCCCTAGTAGGTATATTTCAGATTACAGCTTTTTGGTGAGTATACATTTCACCAGTTTGTTGGGATAGTAGTGAGACAAAGAGGGAGAAAACAGCCAAATCAACAGAATGTATTTTGAACATGGATGGTTTGTAATTTTGAAAATCGCCGGAAAAAATATATTTGTACTCATCACCATAAAGTAGCGTATTACAATGGGTAAAACTTTATGAGAACAGCTTAATCAAATAACAAGGCTGGGATTGTCACAAAGGAGGAAGAGAACAGAAATCAATGTCAATATTTTTGTATTCCATTGGGCTTGTATTCCACACATCCAGTTGTGTCCTTCCATCATGGGGCAGACAATGTTGGTGGACTGAACTTCCCCTCCTTTCCGCAGTCTTCCATACAGGCCCCCAATTTGCTTCATATTTTGGGGATTGTTTTGAAGCAGGTCTGGAGCGTGTGTGTGTGAAGGCATGCAACAGGGGGGCAATGGGAAGGGACACTTCCACCGTGTGAGCAGAAGTCCACTTATGTAACTTTGAATTTAGCCCTTTGTATTCTGCTTCACGGGTATTTCTGAGCATATGCAAATTTCGTTGGATGATCTGAGAGTACTCATGCCATGTTCACTTTTGCTGAACAGGTTGCAGGTTTGTCATTTCACAACCCCACAACACCTGTTTCTATAGAAGCAACAATGGGACTACACAAACATGTATGAACACCACAGGAAATGAAGCCATGCTTCCAGACTTCACCTCTCTCTGAAAAACAATTGGTTGTTTCCAGATTCAGCCAAAAACTATGGTAGGCAGAAAAAAGATCAGTTCACCTATAGCCCACATTTGGGGATATGTGTGCTGTCCCCCACTTTTGAAATATTTTGGTTGGCTTAAAACACACAAAATAAATTGATGTGCCTGTCGTATCTTACTTGTGTGTGAAAGTATGGAATACACACAGATGAAATTTTAGCAAATTTTGAGTTGAGTTGAGATTTGCGTGACCTGTTGGGTGACACAACTCGGAACTATTTTCTTGCAAAACTACGTACACAGGCCTTTGCTTTTTACCTAGAAATTTCACTGAATTGTCTTTGACATCAGCAGGCACGCTGAGATATCATACTACATTTATATAATACCTTTCTTACAATGTAAGGTTTGGTATTCAAAAACTTTCACAGCATTTTGTCATTTTTGAACTTGCCTAGTAAAGGCGAATGTTGCTTTAGACAGACACAGATGTAAGTTCAACGCACCAGCTGATAAGCCACTTACCCAGCCTTGGCTACGCTGATGGTCTGTTGCTCCATTGCCTCGTGAATGCTCGTTCTGTCATGCTCCTTGATGCTGTTAAACTCATCAATGCAGCAAAGCCCTCCATCAGCCAGCACCAGTGCTCCAGCCTCCAAATTCCATTCTCCAGAATCCTTCACAGCAGTCACTGTCAAACCTGCAGAACAAAACGTTCCTTGTGAAATGTGTGCAGAGCCACATTTGTGCTTTGCAGAGCCACTGTGATGGGGGGAAGGATTGCTTCCCACCAGCCCTCTGCAGGCTGAATGTCATTAGTAGATGCAGATACACATGCTAATATAATCACCTTGCCCATGTTCCGCAGAGGGCTGTGCCTTTCTCCACAAAGAACAAGAGACTTGGATATCACTGGGAAGCAATCTTGTTCAAAGTTCCATCTGAGTAAGACTTACTTAGGCTCAGACCTAAAATATGCCAAGGTGACCATGCAATTTACTATGGATGAACACAGATATGACAAAGGAACATCTTTATCAATCCCCACACAAAATCTATGTGGAAAACATTTTAATTAACAAAATAATGATGATAATTGCTAAACATACCTGCAGACATTAATTTTTGAAAGGTAGGCAGCCTACTTGAAGCATGAGCAAGAGGGAAAATTGGGGGAGAAACCAGGAAGTGCCTCACCAGCAATGTACGTCCATCTTTCTAAAGGTAAAGACTGGAAGAAGGCAGGGTGCCTGCATGGTCTCTTTTCATACGGTACCTACTTTTGGCCTAAATCTGATATCTGTGATATTCCATAACATACACAAGATGGAACCCTGCACATCTTCTCCCTGGGCTTCTGTGAGTAAAAAGGAAGGCTTTGCAATCAGTGCATCAACGATGGGGGAGCTACAGCAACACCACATATGCTATGGGGAATCCATGTAATAATGGGGCAATGCAGGTGTGGAAAGTAACCATCTTGTCAGGCCACTTAATTGGCTTCCTTTGGAGGTTACTGGAATTACATGAGAGCAACCACACCCCAATGGCTCCCACACCCTTATGGATAGTGTATGACTCACACCCCCAGTTTTGGTGTAAAGTGGTACACAAGGTGGCCCAGAGCATTTTGCTGCCTGAGGCAAAGGATGTGATGGTGCCCTCTCCCATCCTATGTCCAAAACCTAACTAGACTGACGACTGAATCTTTCTCCACCTTGGTCCTCAGCTGGATCTGAAGGCATCAAGTTAGTTTACCGGCGGCAGGGCAAGCCACATGGTGCATTGCTCTTTCCTTCAACACCTTGCTACTGTCCCCAGGCATCTTCTGTCTGAGGCTACCACTTACTCTGCCCGTGGAAGAGCTGAACCTGGGCAATGCAAGCATCAAATCCACTCCAGCAGCAACATGCTGTCAGCTTCTCCTCCGTGTCCCATCTTCTCATCTGGTGCAAGGGGACATTTCAACTTTCAAATGTCAAAACACTTGAAGCCCCAGTGACTTCTGTTAGACTAAGGCACAATTAGGCACTCCGAGTGATGGCGGAGGACAGGAGAGCTTGTAGGAATGTAGTCCATGGGGTTGTGATGGGTCAGGCACGACTTTGCGACTAAACAACAATTAATTTCACTGGGCTGGGCCTGTTATCTCATGGAATACTATCCAGCCCTTAGAACAAAAGTAAATGGGATGCACGCAATGGCTGCTTTGCACTAGCCAAAGGCAGGACACCCCTTTTTGTACCCTACCTAATGCAGCTCTCCACAACATGCCTTGTACACCAAAGGATCCGCAGACCTACAGAAGTGCCTCTTGCGGGGTGATCCTGGTGCAGAGGTAATTTTTGCTAGGGGAAAAGCCACTGTGGGACACAATGCTACCAGTGCAGTTCAAAAATTACACAACATAAAGCAACACCCGAAGGCCAACACTGTTAAGGAATCACGAGGCACGCAAAACACCTCAAAGCAAATCCCTTTCGAAGCACTCCTCCTTCCGCCTCTCCTCGCCTCCTCCCTGTGGCTCCCCGCCAAGATGGCCCTGCAGCCACTTCTTCCCCGCCGCACTCTCCGCAAGCACCTCTGGGGCGCCTCTCGAAACCCTTCGCCCTGCTCTGGTCCAGCAGGTGGAGCACCAGCTAATATTTCCCAGTCGGTTCCAGCCACGGAAGCCCATCTTGCTCTGTCAGGGAAGCCTCGGCGGCGAGGAGGAGGGTCATAGCTCAGGGTGCAGCCAATCCGCGCTGGCGCTGCCACTTAGCCGAGCAGAATGGGCTTGTAGTTGAGTGTTCGCAGGAAAGCTGCAAAACCGTGTGGAGCGCGGCTTGGTGGTGTAAAAACACGCAAAGGGGCGAGCGAGCAGGAGCGGGGGGCGAGAGAGAAAGTTTCCCAACTCCCCGCGAGCTCCTCCGCCGGCGCTGGGGGTCGCCCGCTGCACGGGGAGAGCCCGCGGGACTTTCTGGGGCTGCAGGGACGCGCCGCCACTATTGTTCGCGGCTCCCCCCTCCCCCTGCCCGCCGCCAAACATGGCAAAGGTTCAGGTGAACAACGTCGTGGTGCTGGACAACCCGTCTCCCTTCTACAACCCGTTCCAGTTCGAAATCACCTTCGAGTGCATAGAGGACCTGTCCGAAGGTGAGCGCCGCTCGGCTCGGCCCGGGGCGAGGGGCTTCCCGAGCGCGGGGCCAGCCCTTTCGGGGGGCTTTGCAGGCTCAAACTTTGCCAAGGCCTGCTAGTGCCGCCGCCGCCGAGCAGCTGCTCTTCCTCCGGCTCCTCCGCCGCCGGCTGCACGAAGTGGGAGGGCTGGAGGCTGAGGGGTGGCGCGGCTAGCTGCTCCCCGGAGTGCCGCCTCCGCGGGGGGGAGCGAAGGGAGGCGGGCGGGAGCGCGGCGGGGTCTTCCGCCGCGCGGGTCGCTTTTCAGGGGGAAGCCCCGTTAAGTTGCAAGGAACTTGTTTGAGTGCTGGGAGCAGCCATGTTGCCAGCATTGTGGCGATCCGGGGCTGCCGGGGCGCGTACGGGGGGGGGGGGGGGGCGTAACGGGGCAGCGCTCGCACGTTTCGAAATGGGGGGGGGGGGGGCGAGGGGGGTGGGAGGCGAGCCGCGTTTGAGCGGTGCAGAGAAGGCGGGCGGGCATCCGCAAGTTACGTGGTTTCTCTCCGTCCGGGGCTTGGAGCCTCCTTTAAGCTACGATTCGGCGGAAGGCGTATTATTGTTAGTCATATGCATAGTAAGAATGCTAACGTAGAGCTGGACATTACACACGTTTCTCTCCCTTGGTATCGCTTGGAAAGTATCAGGAAAGGTACTTTTTAATGCATGCATAGCTTCCGTGTGCCATTTTCCTTTCAGAGCATTATACAATTTGGGGAACTCTCTCGTAAATTACTGCCCATTCTTTGGGACCTCTTCCTCCCCTGCTATACATTGGGATATGCTGTGCCGGTAGTGAAGTCAGCAGTGCTTTCCCTCCCAAAACCAGGGCAGGCAGACAACTTCTGATGACAAGCCTCAACAGTGGCTCCTCCCCAAGTGAATTACCTGAGCGCACTTCATGCCACCAGATACTAGAAAATTAAGCAGTAATTGAACAGGCTCCTACAGTTCCTTAGAGTAACATGAAATTGTTGGACATTGGTGCCTGTCATAAAAATAAATGCACCTCCTCTGAAAATTACAGTAATTTTCATTAAGTACTAGTAATTTTCAATAATTGTGGTTAAGATCACTTTCTCAATTTTCCTTTGGTGTGAGACCAGGGGAGTGAGGTTGTTGGGTGCAATTCTGGTGAATTGTTGCATTTCTTAACCCAAAGTACTTAATGCTACTTCATTTAAGTGTTCTTCTTCTGATGCAGATTTGGAATGGAAAATTATCTATGTGGGCTCAGCAGAAAGTGAAGAATATGATCAAGTTTTAGATTCTGTTTTGGTGGGTCCTGTTCCCGCAGGAAGGCACATGTTTGTATTTCAGGTAAGTCTTTCTTAAAATACTATACTATATATTGCTATGTGTTTATCTTTAGATGCTGCTCTTAAAAATTCTAGTCACAAATCCTGATGTCAGATGCAATTGAAGTTCAGGGTTGTTCTGTGTTTAAAGAGGGTAGCAAATCCAAGCTTTAGCCTGAGCTTCAGCATCCGTCATTTTCCACATGTTGATTTTAGATCAGAAACGTGTGGGTGTGTGCACACACCCACACAGCATAAAAACAGTAAGTGATCTGGCTGCAGAACAGAGAGAGATGCTAAAGAAGAAAATGTTCTAGCAACAGAAGACAAGGAAATTGGTATATGGAATAAATTGGTATAAATTGGTGTAACTTATCAATTAGAAGCTGCCTTACTTTGATGTGTTTAGGGATGTGTGTTAGAAGAGAGAGAATACTCACAAAAGCATATCTATAAGCTGCCTTTATCCAATCCAGGGTACAATCTGGTTAATTTGTTTATGCCTGCTCACCCATTAAGATCTTCAGAGGAGGCCCCCCTGTAAATCCCTCCACCCCTTGATATGCAATTGGTTGGCAGCATGCAGGATTGTCTCAGTGGAGGTGCTTAAGTTTCAGGACTTCCTTCCCCATAAAGCCATCTAACCATCCTAAACTTTTAAAGTAGGGTATCTATTTAGGAGATACTTGGAAAAACATGTCAGTCTAACCCCCTAAATTCTGTGATGTTTGGGTCATTTTGAGTACATAGCTATTTTGTTTTTTACTATTTTATATTTATCACTGATATGTACTAGGGCCCTGTAAGGCCAAGAAATGCTCAAAAATATAGTACAAATATAAATAATGCGAGTGTACTGGTTTGCTTATCTTGCACTGGATCTAGAATAGTGATGTTCACTGTTTCAACAGACAGGAACACTGCTTAAGTAAGCCACTATTGGGTGATCTTTGCCCTCAGGTATTTATTTTGGCCATTGTCTACTTTTGAAACAAACTTGAAGTCCTCACAGTAGTAAAAGATTGTCTTTAGAGAATAATTGAGGAGTCAAAACAATTGGATAGTTCTGTTGAACCTTGAAATATCTGTTTCTCTGGATGTATATTTGTACTGGCTTCTCTACTTGAGGGAGTTGAACAATACCATAATGCTCTAATTAGACATGCATAATAGCTTCTTTCCTTTAAAACAAATGGTGGGAGAGTTTTAGTTAATCTCATTCTAACTTTGTTGTTGTTGTTGCAGGCAGATGCTCCTAATCCAGGACTTATTCCTGATGCAGATGCTGTAGGAGTAACAGTTGTGTTAATCACCTGCACCTATAGAGGTCAAGAATTTATTAGAGTTGGCTATTATGTAAACAATGAATATACTGAAACAGAGCTGAGAGAAAACCCTCCAGTAAAGCCAGACTTTTCTAAGGTAGGTACCACTGGGTGCAATCCAGTGAACTGATTCCACTGCTTCTATTGCTCCATCAAGAGGGAGTGATTCCTCCTCCTCCCTGAGTATCCACAAAATTTGCTACAGAGGGCTTGGAGACCCTCCGAAGTAAACTTTCCAGGAGTATTGCAGACTCAGAAGAGAGAGGAGAAGAGCAAGCAAACTCCCATCCATTCTGCTTGCCTATTTTTAAATTTACTTTAACTGAAGTATCAAAAGAACTCAAAATGATTAGCAAGTCACACTTACGTAAACAAAAATTAAATGCCTTGTTCCAAGAATTCTAAGAGGGAAAGAATCCTGTCAATTGATAGGAGGTGTTCTTGGATTATCAACTATTTTTTGCTTCCTCTTTAGTTATCGGTTGTTATGACAACTTCGTTTTCCCCTTTAGGGGGCTGGGCAGAAGATAGATCAGGACATATGAGTAGCTGTTTTGGTGATTTGGAATTGATTGGCAAGAGTTACCGACTCCTATTTTTCTAAGAATGGCAACCGTCCACACCCCCATCCAAAAACTATTTTGTTGAAAAAGAACACTTGACAAATGTGTTCCTCTAACCCCACAGCAGTGCTGTTTGCATAAAAGGGCTGCTGAACTTGGTCCACATACCAGTTCACATGCACCTAGAGGCATGCTCTTCCTCACTTCTTGGTGTATCTGTCCCTGATTGTGCCAATATTTTGCACCTGCTCTGTGCTTGGGCTCATGGGACCTGTTGATGTTATGTGCTTTCAAGGCTTCTCCAAGTTAGGAAATCCTATGAATGAAAGCCCTCCAGAATCTACTTTGGGACAGACCTTTTGTCTCTCATTTCACGGCCTCCTGAACTGGTCTTCCCCAGCTTTCTAGGGAAAGTGTGATTCTGATTATAATACAGCCAAAGTTTAGTTTGTGTTAGTGATCAGCCCCAGGGCCTGTGTGTTAATGCTGGGTTCAGCTGAGAAATGTATGAAAAAGTGACACTGAACATATGTAAAGACTCATGTTTCTTTTGCAGAGTAAGCACAGACTGTCCCAACTACTAAGATATTGTGCTTTCTGTTTTAAAACTATCTGTATACTGGTTAGTGTTCGTTTTATAAAAGAAGTGTCTGCATGTATATAAACTATCAATAATAAACTATGATTAAGATGCCTGTTTTCTAGGCTTCAGAATAAGATTTTCACGCAGGCTTAAGTTTTTCATTTTTTAAGTTTTAGCTGAGGACTAAAACTTCATTTAGCTGTAATGAAGTCCTCCCAAGCATTGCCATTAACTGAATATTTCAGCTGGCAAAATTCAAATGTCCGTATCTGTCAGAACAGTTAATCTTCCTGTATTAATTTTATTCTGCTTGCTTCAAGCAAGAGCACATTGGTTCTACTGCTTGGTTTCATTCAAAATGACATGTGTTGACATTCAAACAGTAAAGCTACATGTAACTTGTGAAAATAAGTTTTATCAAGTAAAGTGTAGACACTATGGTGGAAACACTTTTTCCATCTAACTGTTAACACAGTTATGAAATGTTATGTCAGTTTGGGAAATAATATGTTCTGTCACCAAGTAATTATTGAGAAAATAAGGTCACCTTTAAGTAACTGCACAAAATTATTTCGTATTTGTTTAACAGTTGTCTGTACCTGGTGTTGGAATGGTGGAACAGAGTAATCCAACATTCCTTAATCTGTTGCCTGCTAGATATGTTGGACTGCAACTCCCATAATTCTTAAAAGGCTGCAGTCCAACACAACGAGGGTACTGGGTTGGGGAAGGCTGCTGTAGTCTGTTTACTTTTTGACCCTGTTTAGACAACAACCATGGCTTCTGGCAACAATTGGTGGGTTAATGGTTAGGCCCACATTTGGACATCACGAAAAACAACATATGAATGCCATATATGCAGGTAATTCCTGGAAACCGGAAGCTGCTCATACTTTGCACACATTCCTGCAAACCATTGGTCAGTTAACCCATGAATTACAGCCTAAAGCTGCCATTATGTCTGGTATTAGGGGTACGAAGATCTAAACCACAAACTAAAATAGCCAAGGCAATTTAACACTAAGTGAAAAGTCTGAATCGACAGTGGAAAAAAAAAAGTAACGGGACTAGAGGGCAATGGTTAGCAGGTGTGTGTGTGTATTTTATCCAGGAACAGGGAAAGGCAGCACTCCCAGGGGAAATCTTTTGGGGTGAATACCTGCACTGGACTGGACCACCCATATTTCTCTCTATTCTAACCATATCTGTACAAATTAGTTCCTTTTTAACTGCATCACAGAGCAGAGCTGAGGGGAAGAATGGACCTATTCTGAATTCTGGCTTTTAAACTGTTCTAACAATTTGTCCACATCTGTTCTTAACCTTCAATTCGATAGAGCTACAAGGACAGCAGTGTTTAGAATATCGGCAGCTACTGAAATTATAAGAGGGTTTTAGGTACCCAGTGTCTAATTCCACATGTTAATGAACGAGTGCCCTTGTTTTCCTTCTAGCTCCAAAGGAATATTTTGGCATCTAACCCCAGGGTCACAAGATTCCACATCAACTGGGAGGACAACACTGAAAAACTGACAGATGCAGAGAGCAGCAACCCAAATCTTCAGTCACTCCTTTCTACAGACGCACTGCCTTCTGCTTCAAAAGGGTGGTCAACATCAGAAAACTCCCTAAATGTCATGTTAGAATCTCATATGGACTGCATGTGACAGCCTCCCCTTCAGTGCTATGTACGTGTTATGCTGTAGACACACACACAAACACCCATCATCAGAACTTGCTTCGTTGGAACTACATACTCAACAATGTGCAAATCTTGTTTTGAAAAAAAATCCCATTCCCTGTAGAAAGTTTATAAGGAAAAAGTATTTGAGTGGATGTATAAATAAACCTATTTTTAAGTAATTTTCTGAGTTTTTCTTTGGTTCATATTAATTTAATTTGCTGTTATGGTATGCATGATTCCTTTCCCCTAGATGTAAATACAGCAGCGGGGGAGGATGGGAAGTTACATCTTTTTAGCTGCTAATAATAGGCAGATTTTTCAACACGTCTGTAAGACTGGCCCCTGCTTGGAAAGCAGGGAGCATGGCATGATCTGCAAGGAGGCCTGTATGCATGCATGTGGTGGCAGGGTTGCCCCAAGCCAGCACACCACCTGCCATGCAGCGCCACTGCTGCCAACAGCTGGCATGTGTGAGAGCTGCAGGGAAGCCACTCATGGTGCGCAAGCCTTGGAGAGTCTTCTATAAGGCCTCCAAATGTGAGACGGAGTGACTCCATAAAGAAAGCCATAGCCTTGAACTTGGAAGAGCTGAGCAGGACTGCCATGGACAGGACATCCTGCAGGGCTTCCATTCTGGCCATTGTCCTGCCTGGAGCTGTAGCTGCTGGCTTGCATCGCTGCACGTGGGCAACTACTGGGCTTGCTTTGTGGTGGCTCCACTTGGAAAGGGAAAGTGACCCACCGGGCTGCCTGGGCAGAGGCCTAACTGTAGAACCTCTGCCCAGCAGTGGAGAACCAGTCATATGGCATGGGATTACCCTGGCCCCAGGTAGCCACTGGTTATGAAGTGACAGCCATTGTTAGAAAGGTGGTGTTAGTTCTAACATAGCAACTACATGGTGGCTTGAGCAGGTGGTGGCATCTTCATTTCAGTCCCCCATTCACTGCCTGAGACAAGATGCTCAGTGTGCCTTATGGCAGGACCCTTAAGGGACCCTTCTCCCTTAACCTGAGTGGCATGGAGTGCTACCATGGGAAGATATTGAAGAGAAGCAAGCCATAAATGTCCATAAGTGCAGTTCCTTGCAGGATGATTGCCGTATTCTAACTCCACAAACACTACAGTATTCCTTATCAAGCAGTAGATGTGAATGTTTTACATAAATCATGACTTCCTGCTAAGTGACAAATCCTTGCAGGTGCTCCAAAGTAGAGGTTTATAGAGTCCCCCGAGGGTCACCAGATGTGAATAGTGTAGTGTGTTTGGCTGGTTGCACAGAGTGCAGAACTAAATTAGAATTTCTTAGATGCCATTAATGCAATAAAAGATCCCAGTATGAGTGACTACGTATACACAGAAATGATAGCTGGCTGTGGGACCTAGCAAGCTATGTTGGACACCAGAAAACATGCATAATACTTAGGTCCTTCCAAAAAGCAAACCCAACCTGGGCTGGAATCCTTGAAAAATTACAGGAAACAATGCTTTTTACTGTATCAGGCTACCAGTGCATCTATCGCAGTTGTGTTTGATGGGCATGGACTTTCCAGGGTCCAACCTCAGAACTAGGAATGAAATGCTTTGTGGGGAAAAGGGATAACCTACCAAGAGTGGCTACTGCCTCAGCACTTGCCCTTTCCCCCATCCCTGTCTTCAGCCAAGGAAGAGATGGGGTGCACAGAATAGATGGTATCAGTTGCACAGTGGGAAAAAGACCTAGTTGATGGGTGTTCTGGCTTGTAGAATTGGGGGCAAATGCTTTGCAGAATGACTGTGGAAGTCCAGAAATAACACAAGGGAAGGGAAAATAGAGTTATAAATGGAAGGTAGGGTCTCAAACCAGTGAGGACTTGACAAAGGGGATGGTGACCAGCAAAACGCAGGTGTCTGGATAACAGAGAGATGTTCTGAAATGTATTCACTGCTCCACCTTCCACTGAAACCCATGTCAAAAAATTACTAGTCTGGCACCAGGTACTGGGTGAGGAACTTGGTTCTCACCAGCTTATTTCAGTTACCTGCTCTTGTAGATCCAATTCCTGCGGTAAGTACCGATCGTGGTGTAATCTTTGCTGCATATTTCAGAAATTGAGATTTCCCTGTTCCAGGATCTCCAACCAGCAAAAGATGTGATTCACCTTACAAGGAAACACAAATGTAACTTTTTTTAAAAAAATGTACATTTTGATTTAAGTTAAGTACACTGTAGGGTCAAGAATTAATGTAATTGAATGGATTGATTGCAAAACTTAGTCATGACTAACTCTGGATCTTACATGACATCCATCTACAGGTATACCAACATGCAATATCCAATTTATGTCAAGTCCAGTAATTGAAATACTAAGGTTTTGTTGAGTAAGGATCGTATTTTTCTTAGGTATAGTGACAGGTTGTTTGAAATTCATTATTAGAATAATTATAATATTTGTGTTGATAACATTTTTTTAGCTTCATCGTTAACATGGGAAAGAGAATGCATTGACCTCTGTTAAACTATTACAGTTTTCCCATCTTTTTGATATTATGCAAGAAGAACATGTACTAACTTGTGTTTTCTAAATGGAAAAATAGCTACCTGATAAAAATGTAGAATGAATAGCCTGTGTTTCAGAAAATCTTGCCTTAATAGCCTTCTACAAGAATGACACTCTAGTGATATATAAGCCCATAAACAAAGCCTCTTAGGATTTTGACTACCTACTCCAGTGGTAACACGTACCATTTCACATGTCATTAGTTTTGCCCTTCAACAGCACAAAGAAAAGCGGTTTGCTAAAAGTTTACAGTACTAGGTCTTAGCAAAATGTGCAGACAGCTAAGAAAGGAAAAGGCTAGAATTAAATCAGATCAATAAAAATTATGGGCTATTAGTCATACTTTTTTTTTCCATGCCTGGTTTGAACCTCTTTTAGTATGTTACTAATTTCCTGGACAAATTAATCTTAGTAAAGGTTTATAATAGTAATCAGGAATATTTATTTACTTAAAGCACCTGCAGCAAACAATATCACAAATGAGGTACTGTGAAGAGCAGGATATAAAAGCTATACATTTTTAGATAGATAGTTTAGGTGGCAAGATTATTTCATTTTTTTTTACTGCCCTATAGCTAAAGGCTCCCTGGGAGGTTAAAAAAAGTTAAACACATATATACAAAAAACCAGAGAAACAACATATGAAACAAACAGTAAAATTTGAATTTCAATCAAATCAGTGGAGAGGTATAGCAGCAATACATCATAAAATGTAGTACAGGCAGTCCCCAAGTTATGAACATCTGAGTTATGAACAATTTGTACTGATGAACAAACAGCCGTAAGGCCTATTATCTTTAAAAAAAAAATACTGCAGGAAATTGACATCACTGCAGAAAGGGAGGAAGTGAGAGGGGAGAGAGGGAAAGCCTCCAAAGCATCACCAGAGAGTGAGCGAGCGAAGGCTTCCAAAGCATGCCTTCCTGCTCTTCCCACCCAGAGAAGGAAATCTGTTCTTGCTTGCTTGCTGCAAAGAGGCGGCACTGGTGAGCTGGGGCGGGGTAGATATATTCATGTTTTTTCCACTTTCCTAGGGGCCCTGTGCCCTAAACCCCATGAATGTGGAGGGCAGAGTATATGTGATCTGACTTACATACACATTTGACTTAAAGATGAATTTCTGTTTTCTTAGGAACAGAACTCATTTGTAACCCAGGGACTGCCTGTATTAAAAGTTAATTGTTAAAACATTGGGAAAATAAAAAGGTTTTCACCTGACACCAAAAGGAAAAGGAGGGGGCTCCCAGAGAAGTGCCCCAGAAGGCGTCCTTAACACCACGATAGGTACACATGGGACTAGGTGTTCCTTCAGATAACCTGGCCACAAGCCGTTTAGGGCTTCAATGTTAATACTAGCACTCTGGCTTGGGCCTCATCTTCAACTGGGAGCTAGTGCAACTGAAAGAGGCCTGATGCAGTAATTTCTCATGAGCCAGTTCCCATTAACCACCTTGTGGCTCTGCTTTAGATCAGCTGAATTCTCCAGACTGTTTTCAAACACAGATCCACGTACGGCACATTGCAGTAGTCCAAACAAGAGGTTACCAGAGCGTGGATTACCGTGGCTAGGCCTGTGTCCAAATAGGGTCGTGGTTGGTATATCAGCCTAAGTTGATCTTATCAGCCTAGAGACCTGCATGGAAAGTGTGAGGACCAGCCCTGCGGCATCCAACCTGCAGCAGTAGCAGCAGCACTGGCAGTGGAGGGAGACTGGAGGACGCTGATACAGCACTAGCTGCTTTGTGTGCACAAAGCTGGCTCACCCCGTGGAGCGCTGTGGATAGTGCGCGAGCGCAAACGGAAGAGCTAGCAATCTCAGGCAGCCAAACTACTTTGCATTAGCACTGCAGACTTCCTGGCTAGTTGTGCCATTGCCACACAAAATAAATAAATAAAGCCTAAGTTGATGGTCCATGCCATTGAGCCCACCTGCGCCTCAAATAACCATTCTGGACCCAGCAGCACCCCCAAACTATGAACCTTGTCTTTTAGGGGGAGTGCAACCCCATCCAGAACAGGTTGAATACCATCCAACTGAACAGCCAAATCACTCACTATCAGGACCTCTGTTATTGACCCTGTTATTGCATTATTAACCCTCATCCAGATTTAAATCCAAAGCTTTATGAGCTTTGGTATTGCGTCCTGAGATGCACAAGCCTCATTCCCTTACACTAAGTTTAGACCCAGTGGCCCCTTGTATGATTCTTTCTGTTGCTTCAGTTTTCTTCTCCATTGCCTTCTCCCCATTTTTCTTTTGTTTGTGGTGGATGTGCATGGTTCATGGTGACAAAGCCAAAAAGGGAAAGCTTGCTTTTACAATTTCCTTTTTGGATCTTTGTTCTCAGACACTGCCTACCAGTAGTAGAAGCAGGTGTTTTCAGAGGCTTGCCTAGATGCTACTTACAATGTAAATGCAGGAATGGAGCCAAAATTGTCTCTGTCCTTCCCTTGCTTTGCCTGGCTTTTGCTGGAATAGGCAGAGGGCACTAACCTCAAAGTATAACTCAGAATTGCACTGCACAATTCTAAGCATTTTTAGGCAGAAAAAAGCCCTAAAACTTCCAGCATAGCCCAGCTAAACTTGCATAGGATTGTGTCCTTAGAAAGTAACAAAATAGTTGATTGAGAAATGCAGTTATTTATTACACATTGGAACGATATAGTCTAAGTTGCAGCACAACGTCGTTTGTTATTGGCTGCATTGTGAGAAAATATTATTGATGTATTATTTAAGAGTATATGTATTTTCTTTTCATTATTATAAAGCATATTTTAATTTTAAATGTGGTAAAGCGCAGGTCATATTTTTTCTTTTTGTCTGAATTTTGTTTGTGGCTGTTTTAATTTATTCTTTGTCTTGTACAACATGAATCAAAACCACTTTGAATAGAGGGAGGATACAACTTTCAACTTTACATGAAGGCTTTGAACAGGGTGACTTTACCAAAGGAGGAAAAATAATCTGATAGTAGCTCTTTTGCTGCTGCATTTCAGGCTACTGTCTTATGAGTATAGTGATGAAGAATGGAGTTTAATATACTAACCTCTAACGCGGGTGCCTGCAGCATCTGTTCTCTCCACGCCTCCTGCGAGCACCATGGCTACAGCCAGCTTCACGACATACAACCCAAAAATCTGAGGGCACAAGCTGGCTAAAATTGCATTCCTCCCTGGAAAGGTTGTGGGGGGACGGGGTGAGGGGGAGAGAGAAAGTAAGTATACAGGTACTCCTTAGGTTACAGATGAGTTACATTCCTGAGAACATCTTTAGGTTGAATTTCTATGCAAGTCAGATCACATGAGTAAGCCAAATGTTTGTCTGTGTATATATTTTACCTTTCTATGCATGCAAAACACTTAAACACTTCCATATTCACTAAAACTTCTTAAACACAATACAACACTGTAATAATGAGAATAATACAGTAATAATAAAGTAACTTCAGATACTGAAGAGTAAGCTAGAGAGAGAATCTGTATGTATGCATGTATGTGTGTAGGTATACAGTATTGATGATGATGATGATGATGATGACTGTTTCTATCATCATCATCTGGGCATCTCTGCTTCTGCCCTTTCCAGAAACTGTTTTGCCATGGCAATGTTTCATCCTTGAGGCCCTACACACGCCCCAGAACTCACTGGCCTGGGTATACTTGAGCTGACAGCGTGGGAAAAAAGCATGATTACTATATCTCTAGGGAACCAGGCTGCCACTGATGATGCTCACCAAACACATTGCAGTGTCCTCGTGATACGTCATGTAGTTTCTAGAGATAGCTATGACTGTCTCTAGTGAACCTCTCTCTTTCTACAAGAAGCCATGAATATCTCTAGGGAACTACATGGCCACTGATGACACATCGCCAATGCTGTTGCGTAGTTCCCTAAAAATGTTCACAACTTTTCTCTAGAGGTATTTCTACAAGGGTTATGGCAGTCTGCACATTTGTAAGTACAGATTAACTGTAATCTGGGGACTACTTGTACTAGCCAAAAAAGTTAGCACTGATGACACATGCAGTTTCCAAGTGAGCTGCTTACAGTTTACTGATCATCTGTTATCTTTGGTGTAAGTGAGAGATAATTACAGTCAGTGGCTTTTAAAAAATCAGATGTGGCTTCTTTTTAAGCTCCATTTTATGTGGAGTGGTCTTACATGATGCTAGAAGGAAAAAGGCCAGATTCAATGCTTTGCAAGAGGGATTCAAAAGCACAAAATGCTTTATAAATTAGATGTATTATTGAATTATGCACTACAATTCACATCATTCTGTCCACTGTTTGTACTGACTTCAGTACACTTCAGTAGTAGCCCTCATGGATGAAGCTATGGCTTTGGGAAACTGGATATGGCATTGGGAGCTTTGTTGCATGTGAAGAGTTCCCCACCAACAAAAGTTTTCTATATTCATTTCAGTGGAATAATGATTGCACTAATCCAGTTTCTCCATTGAAAAGAATGGGCCTGTCTTCGTAGATGAAAGTTTTATGGGCATATTGAATGCACATGCTACTCTGATTGAAGAAATAACAAAAAAACTAACTTTCTAGCTACTTTCAAGCTGATATGCCTTTCCAATCCATCAACTTGGATGGACATGGTTTGCTCCATCAGTTAAAAGTTACTATGACATTAAACTAAACACCACATACTGCATGTTAAGCATAAACCTAGCTTGCCTTCATTTTTCTGATAAGACCGAAGCAACTCTTGTCACTCGTTTTAGTATTTTCTTTCATGTCCCCTTTTCTGCCCCTTTCTGCACTATCCCTTCATGCTGATTTTTCGGGCAGAGAGATATAGCAGAACGAATTCTACCTCCTGATAGACTGATTCTTGTAGTGCACCAGAGACCAAATTTTCCATGGTACATCCTGTCACTTTTAGCAATGCAAAACTCAACCTCCATGGCTGGACAAAAGAAAACACCTTTTATCTCTAAAACAGGTCAGTTCTGCCCTGAAGCAAGAATATACAAATACAGAGCGACTTTACATTCATTGCATTTCTATTGCAGAAAATTAATATGAAAAAGCATTAAAATGGGCTAACTTTGTGTAACTAAAAAGAGGAGGAACAGTGATTGACTTATGGGACCCAGTGACCATGCAGAGAGAGATTCTTGCAGGACTCTATAGTAACCCATTTACCCTACTCCTGAGCAACCCCACCAGCATTCACCAAAGCAGTACACCAGGGTATTGTAGGGAGCAGGAGTCTGTGTGTCCCTCCTGGATCTCCAGTCAGCCTTCTCTAGCTGCATGCTGCCCATTAGCCATATTTCACAAGAGTGCTTTTAAAGGCAGGTAAGGCAGTCTGTGGCCTTCCAGACTCTGTCCAGCTTCCACCATCTCTAACTATTTACCATGCTAGCTGGAGCAATGGGAGATTCCTACCCTTTTACAAATACAAACCTGAATGCAAAGATGCCCAACATGCCCTATTATATGGCAAATCAGTAGGCCACTGTGTTTTTGATGTCATGCTTTTAAATTGTAAACATGGCAGGAAGGCTGCTTTTTCCCAGCAGCTATGCAAAGTCAAATATGATCTGGTGACTTAATACAGACTCAAGGAAATTGCACCCAGTTTCCTGTGAGTTTGAAACAATGTAAGCATAGCTCTTTCTACAACATTATTGGAAAATGGCAATATTTTGCAATGATACAGATTCAGAGCAATGGAAGAGACTGGGACTCTAGGCCCACGAATCAGCAGGCACTGATGCAACCCAGGCACAGATGTGTAGCACAGAAGCTGTAAAATGCTGTCCAAAAAGCCCCTATCCATATTCCGCTCTCAATTACATTCAGTGCAGCTTTGCATTAGTCTTCATGACCACAAAAGGACATCTTAATCATTCTGCTGATTCTGCTCATCCCTTATTATGCAGGGGCTGGGGAAAAGGGAAGGAGGTCCTAAGTCAGGACCTTATTCTGGTACTGCCAAGCACAGGTTTTGCTTGCAGTGGCTGTATCAGAATCTGTTCTTTTAGCAGGCCCTAGATCAGACCCATACAAACTGTGATCCACAGCCCCAAGGAATATGTAGCTATTATGTCTCCCGTTTCTTGTGGTTTGTCTGGGAGTGCAAAAATAGGTGAACTGTCAAACATTTGAGGGCACAATATGTGGCTGGTGGTGAGCTGTATTCAACTTTGTGGTCAGAAGCTACACAGGCCTCATCGCAAACTGGGAAGCCCCGTATTCCCTCCACCCAAACCTGCATTCCAATGGAGGACATGGCCAAGACAACAGTGGTCACCCCTCGGTTGGTCTAGAATATTCCTACTTTATATTAGCAGAAATGTTCTAGGAGAAAGAGATTATAGGTTGCTTCATAACAAATTTGTCCCCTTCTTTTAAAAGAACCAAGTGTATAGCATCATGAAGACAATTGCATTAAACACGACAAGCAGCTTAGATATTTCAGTTTAATGAGGGATATTCAAGTGCGTAGAGAGGCTAATCAACAAACGAGCTTTTCTGCACTATTATTTAAGTGCGCAGAAACTCTGCATAAACCCCACTGTAGCAAAGCAAAAATTGTGCAACGGAGCTTAGTAGAGGACAGACTTTCTCCATTAATGTTCTTTACATTTCAATCATCACGTCACATCAAAATGAAGTTGGTGGAGGAGAAAGACTTGCTGACTGCATAGGCATTCCTCATACATAAACTATTTAACTGGGGAATGTGCAGCAGTCTAAGCAGACTGAAAATAACATAATGGAAAAAGGCTCACGACATGGAAAGCACGAGAGCGCGATGAAAGAAAAGCTCTTCAATAATATGCAAAAGCTCTTTTCATTTAATTGAAGGCGCCTCTGTCATTTTCATGCCTCCATTCAGTACAGAACTTGCGAAGAATTGGTTATGAATTTGTTATTTGGAGAAAGCATTGCAGTTTTTTTAGTCGCATGTTTTAGTGCTTTTAATTCTAGACTCACAACCAAATTGCTCCTGAGAAGAAAGGCTTGCTGACAGCATGCAGGAAATATGAATTAAATGTGCATTTGTCAAGCCAACAACTGATAGTGCAGAAAGGCCCTATGAGAGAAAACACTGCAGACGCTCTTAATGAGCTATCTTCCTAGATACTGCCCGAGAGGGGCAATGGTTGAACCCTTTCCCTGCTGCAAAACCAGGTGAATCAGCAAGAAATACAGTTCAAAAGATGGTGGCAGTGTGTTGGTTATAATCACAATATCGCTATCAGCAGTTCCTTAATCTACTGGCTATTTTATCCCTTTTGCATACCTGCTAAAGGATCAGTCTTATGCTTTTCCCAAAACTCTTCAAACTCCTTGCGGACCTCCTCATCAATTTTAACTCCTGCCATCTGCTCGTTGTTTACATGAATATAGTTAGCTTTCAAGACAATCTCTACATTGCAGCGTGATTCCTGGCAAAAGGGCTTCCACCTCTGCATGACTACTCCATAAACTGTTATGTCATCACCTGAGGATGAAAACAGGAGCGGTCACGATCATATTGCCATATACGACAGTCTAAAAGTATGACGCTCCCTCATGTTAAATACTGCACATATATTGATTCTTCCATTTCTCAGCCAAGATAACAAGGTGGAGAAAGGACTGGAGCACAATTCTGTCTTTTCCCTGCTGCTGGAGCACCGCTGTCTCCCACCAGACATCTCTCCCACCAGGTGATGGGACACCTTAAAACGACTGATGGGCCAGGCACCTGAAGTGTGTGGACCAGAACTCTCTTGAGTTCTACAAGAAGTTCAGAAGAGTCACATTCTGATGCTTCTTTCAAACCCCAAGCCCCTCAGGAAATGAAACTTCCGTCCTTTTGATGAGAGTAGTGAGGCTCAAACCAGAAATCCTGACAGAAAAAAGTTGGCTTGGGGTAGCTAGTGGGCTTGTGGCTATCTTACATGTTTTGGCCTACCGTTTCCAACATCTCTCACCATTGATTTTCCTGGTGAACACGGATGGGAATTGTATGCCAAAACTTCTGGAACATCACATCCTTATTTTAGGGGTAGCTCAAGATTAATTAACAGTTCATTTTTAATCAAGCCACTGAACTTTACTCAATTAACAGGTTTGCTTAATCATGTCAATATTGGAACCCTATTAAGATACACAGACATATTTCTGCTTCTTGGGAACTCACTAAGATAAAGCGCACCACCAAAACCAGAAGCTTCACTTGTACAGAGGTTGGAAAAGCGGGATTTCCATGGATGCCTATAAAAGGTGATTCAAAGAGTGTGTCTAAGGGCATTAAAATGCTGCATACAAGGATGCTTTTCTCCTTTATCCTATATAGTAGCACAAAGAATATGAACAAACAACTGGAAAGATAATGTGTTACTAGTCTTAACAGATGGATCCAAATCCTGGGAACATGTTTTAGCATGGAGGAGGATGCGGGGGGGGGGGGGGGGATATGTGATCTATGGGTTGCATGCAGCCCGAGGCCTTGTTCTGCAGCCCTCTTGCCACTCAGAGCCCACCCCCCATTCTTCCCCACTTGGGTTCCAGTGATGGCGCAGGCATAATTGTGGCAAGCTCTCCCGAGGCTGCCAGCCCATCCTGCTTTCTCCTGGACGTTCAGAAGGAGAGTGGGCTGGGCTGGTGGCCTTGTAAGAACTTGCCCTGGCATGCCCCATGCTGCTCCAGCTGCCAAGCACAAAGGGGCTCAGGAGTAGGAGTGGGCAGGGCGTGCTGGGAAGAGTTCATGGCTCAAGTACAGGGGGCTCAGTGTGCCAGGTCCGAGGAGGAGGGGGGACTTGGGGGGCTTCACATGGGAGAGTCTCTGGGTGGGAGAAACAGGGAAGAGGGTGGTCATTGTGCTTGGGCTGTGGTCTGAGGAGGAGCTGCTTGTGATCCCTGCAGCGTGGGCTGTCATTCGATTAGTCCTAAAATCGTCTTAAAATCAAGCAAGGGTTTTCTCCCTTGTTTAGTGGCTAAATATATTAATTGTATATATTAAATAAAATAAATATTTTGCGAACACTTCTATTTACGATATGAAAATGTAATTCATTGTGTGGCCCAGGTTCTGTGTTGAAGTCCTCATGTGGCCCTCGAGGTACCAAAAGTTGGACCGCCCTGGCCTAAGATGTACTCTGGAGCCCACAACATTATCTCGGAATAGTCTCTTGCAACCTGGAAACTTGAAATGGAGAAGTTATATGAGTTGATGTTTTGGCATAAGGTGATGACATTTCCCCACTGTATGACCACACATTGATTTCAGCACCAACAAAACAAGATGGCATACACCTGTATACTATCAGGCAAGAACCTCAATTGCAACACTTTAGTAAAACATAAGCCTCTCTTAAAAAATGGTCTCCCCTAAAAAGAAAGTATTTTCAAAAGAAAATCTGCCAATGCTCACCAGATTTGCAACTGTCAACTAAGTCATCTTCTAGGACAACCATCATAGAACGAGGGATGCTTCCAACAGATAGTCTTTGAACCTAGACAACAATGAGAACCATATTTGTTTGGTTTCAAGATAAACAATGCTCCAAAGTTGAGTCTAGAGCCTTGCAGAAATTACCAGACAGTCCTCTGCTACACAACTGTGTTGGCTAGTTGTGGCCAATTATTAAAAAGCTTTCTTGCTGGGTTATCTAAAAGGATTTTTATCTACATGCAGGAGACCAGACAAGTGCCTGTTTGCAACTCTGCTTTCATCTAGTCTCTATCTGAATCAGATTTGAACAAGTACTACAAAAGCACTTTCCCAAACTATGTGCAGCCTAACCCTAGGCAAGTTTTCTCAGTAGTAAGTCCCACTGTGTTCAATGGGGCTTACTCCTTAATCACCCTGTACAGAATTGCAGCCTTAATTAGACACGGACTGTTACAACAGGAAGGTTCTTTGATACATTAAATCAATTAGAACAAGATAGAGCGGCAATGAGATACTGGCTGGACCATTACGGCAACGATGGCTGGGTAGGGGGGTTAGGAATAAACTTAACGGCCACCTGATTGGCAGTTTGCTCTTATACCTCAGTATCATGTATTGTGATATCAGTCTCCATATCAATGTCTTCATAAAAGTATGCTGCACATTAGCAAGCTATTATAAATGTCGCAATTATGCAAAGGGAAGAAAAACTGTAACATCAGATTGCAAACTGTACTGAGGCTTCTGATCCTGGAGCAGGGTCCTGATGGGGGATTGAAGGCAACCGTTTTCATCCGTCCTCCCTCTAGCTGCAGTCCCCTATGCCCCTCTCCCTTCCTGTTCTGATGGGTTGGACTTCCACTAAAACTGGGGGATACAGCACAGGGTCCCACTAGAACAGTGGGAAAGGGAGGTGGCAGAAGCAGGAACAATCGGCAAAGATCACTTCTTCCCGTCAGAAAGAGCATTCTGAACTGACTCTGCCCAGGAAATACTCCTGTCCATGGAAAAGAAGCTGGATCAAGCCCACTAAGTGTTTTGGTAATTGTGGTACCCCTTTGGGCCTCTGGAGAGGATTCAGTACAGTCTCATAGTGGCTGTTAATGTAATAGGATATTGTACAGGTAGAATAGTAAAGCAATAAATGTTGCCTACTTTTGCATCCTGGTTAGTATATTGGCTATGGCAGATACCAGTTCAGAGAACCCATTTATTTATTTGTTTAGTCAGCTTATATGAGCCCTACTGTATGGTCATAATTCTGCAGCTCTGAGATAGATGGGCAGTAATGGACCACACCACTAAACCATGTTCTACTTCTCTCTGCCAGTTATCCAGAAATTAAATTGCATGACACAGAACCAATGTCAAAAGGGGAAATGATCTTTCATTGCGCCTAACATTTATCCATTAATCCCCTCATCACTTTCAGGTCCCAGAAAATTCCTAATTTTAACTCAAATATGTTTGAAACCTGCTCTTGTATCTTGATTTCTTGATAGTCTCTGCAACTGTTTGGCGCATGGGATGTTCCAGACAGGCAAGTGAACTTAGAGGAGTTGCAGCCTTCTTCATTAGGGCAGGCCGACGGACGGCAGAATGCATAGTACTGTTCAAAGTCGGCCTTGACCACAAAAACACGCTTGCACTTGTTACAGATGTAATCCCGTTCAAACTCCAGCACCTTTGTCAGGCTGGTACGAATAACAGTGCCAGTAACTGAAAGGAAGTGTCCTACATCTCTAGTTTTTGGTATGTGTTCTCTGGTTAGCTCTGGACAGACAGGTAAACCTGGTAAATTGGAACACAGAAAACATTTACCACACCACTTATAAGAACAGTTCCTTTGATTACATTGTTGATTATCCCACCCACTCTGAATGATCTATTATTATGCAGTACAAGGTAGCAATGCATTCTCTGAACAGAGACGGCACACACACAGTTGTTGGTTGCAACTTGGGCTGCAGTCCAACCTGGCCAAAAATGCCACTGAATTCAGTGGGCCATTTCTGACCCACTCATGCAAGAGAGACCAAAAATAGTAACTTTCAGGAAAACAATTGAATACATGTTTTGTACATGCAAGGTATCATTTGCTTCATATAATTCACTGAGTAAAAGTCAATTTCAAAAGAAAGAGCCATGCCAGTGCAATCCATCCTAAATACATCTATTCAGAAGCAAGCACCATTGAGCTTACTGGAACTTACATTTGCCAAACTGTTCTGTTTACCTTTGTGTATTTATCAACTAACCCAACAGGTACTATTTCATATAAATTACATCAGATGTGCCTGCTGAAGCATTTTCTACCTGTATGTCTTTGTCCAAAACTTAAATAAAAAGATTCACTGGATATGACATAGAAAGAGCTATGAATGTGTAATTGGCTAAAATATGGCAAACATAAGTACATGTGTCTAACAAGAATAAAACACTTTAAGACAGCAAACAAATGCAGATGTGCATTCCAGTGCTGAATTCCTACAGTTCCCTGTATTCTTCAGCATATATAGGTTCCTACAAGAGGAAAATGATTGATGGAATTTTAATATAACAGTAGATCACAAAACAAGCTGTTTTTAAAAAAGCTAAATCCTCCTCCATCACTTAGAACCTAGAGTGGTGTGTACTAAAAATTATTCTGTATTTATGTAAATTTGGATCTATTATATTCTTAACAAAAACTGAGAGTATTAAATTGTGTTTTCCTACAATTTAGCCTGCAGCATCTATTTTCTATGAATAGACCTAAACTCGATGACCTTCTTAAAGTACAGCTACAGAGCTTCAATGAGCTACTGCACATCTTTTTGGCATGATTGTCAGACAAAGCATCAGACAAGAAAGCAATTGGGATTTCAAAGTACAATTTATGCATTTGGAAAATCAAGGGCGGCCTTGCTCCGCTGTTTGTTAAACACTATGCAAGATGAGAGATATGGAAGCCACCAAGGAAAGAATACAGTCAAGCAGAGAGAAAATAGTGAGATCATGGACTAGATAATAAGCATATTAGGATCAGAAAATAAACTATAACTCAATCACACCAGTGGGAAAAAGTTTGTAAAATCTAGGAGTTGGTGAAATTTACTAGGAAACACCTCAGAGAGAGGGAAAGATGGAAATGTGTTTGTTTCTTTGTAGCAAATCCATACCTTACTCACTTAAGCAACACATCCAATCTCCCTTCACACTTTTTTTGGCACTGCATAATTCAGGATGGGCAGCCAATGGCCTTGTAAGTGTTGGACTTCATTTTCCACTAGCCCCAGTTAGCATGACCAATGGGTAAGGTTGGCAGAAATTGTAGTCCCAGAGGGGCACACGTTCCTCACCCCTACTAGAATCATTAATCATTTTTAAGAAGAAGTTATTGAGCAATAGAACCCAAACATAGGCATGCCATTTCATGACATTAGCCTTACCTGATATTCTGGCATGAAGATGCTGCTTAATGATGAAGTCATGAGCTTGAGAAATAGACTGGGAAAGTGTCACGGCTGCCCTGCGCAATGCATTATCAAATATGGGGAGCACTTCACTGGGAAATGCATTAAAATATTCACCAATTTCCATGTTGGTTTCAAAAAGTGTCAGAGCATCAACTATAACTGGGTAATGAGCAGCAGCATCCTTTTCTCTTAAAATCTGTAATAGGTCATTTTTGTGGTATTCCAAAATATATGACTCAAATACTTGTCCAATTAAAGCAATCTGTTCAGTATTTAGAAGCATCATGAATCTATAATTGAAAGACAGGGAAAATTATATTAATGTTAATTACAGTATCATGTTTTTGGTGAACAACAGTTCTCAAATCTGTCTTCCAGGCACATCTGGATTTATTTCTGTACTTAATTTTGAGCCCTCCACCTAAACTTCAATTACATGTTCTGTTTTAAACAGTTTCATCTGTGAAATCTCTACATTTTTCCACTACTGGACAATTAAGTTACAGTGTTCATGCATAGAGCTAGTTAATATTATTTTCCCACCAACATTTAGTTACACATAGGCAAATCCAAAAGCAAGTCAGGTGTTCATTGGATTGCTCAGATCTAAAACAGCTTTTCCCCATCCCGTGGCCTCCAGATGCTTTGGATTTCAACTTGCAGCAGTTCTCACAATTGGCCATATTGGCTGGAGCTGGTGGAAAGAAACTGAAGGTCAAGCTGTCTGGGGGGCACTAGGCTGGGATACAAGGGCCCTGCTGTTTGAAAATGAACAAACTTAGAAGGTGCATTTGGTTTGCTGCCTTTTTACATTCCTAGAAATAGTTTCAGAAGATATAACAGGAAAGAAATCAGTCAAATGTCAAACATTTGTTGAATACCTACCATAACAGGTAACCTAAAGAATTAAGGGCCAGAAGAGCTAATACAATAGGACTGGGCCAGATTGAAAAGGACAAGGCTCTTGCATTTTTAAAGGCTGTAAAACAGGGGACTGCAGTGGGTTTAATTTGCAAGCTAATGCCTGCTGACGTGCCCTCTTTTCTACAACAGATGCACAAATGCAGCTGCCCCGTCATTTTCTGTGCCTGGCCAAACTACATATGGAGAAACTACATAAGGATGACTACTACAATAAAGGGTCATCCAGTTTAAGGGCAGAGCATATATTAGTTGAGCAGATGGATGGATGGATGGATGGATGGAGGCAGGCAGCGATCCTGCGCCTGTTCAGGCAGAAAAACGCCCCACGCTGCCCAACATCCCCTCGCCAGGCACGCTGGGCGAACTGCAGCGCTTCCACCGCGCGTTCAGGAGCCCGTGCCGCTCTCCAAGCAGCGCCAGCGGGGGCGCGGCAAGCGTCTTATGCGGTCTTCCGACGCACGCCGGAGGGGCGGGGAGGCCCCGTCGGCCGCATCCGCTGCACAGAGCAAGGGGGCTTCCTCGCCTCCCCGCCTGGGGTCTTCTAGATGCGTTGGGGCTGCAACGGCCGGTACCCGCTCCCCGCAGGCGGCATCACTCGCGGCCGAAACGCAGCGGCCACCAGCCAACCTCTCCTCCCGGGCCCGCCCCCGGCGCTCATGGCGCCAAAATCCCGGGGATTTGATTGCTCGCGCGCCGAGACTCCGCCTCGAACGAGACGCCGGAGAGGGCCGAGCGGAGCAGGGCGGCAGCATCCAGCAAGCCCTTCTGGCAGTGGGGCTGTGATCCGTGCGCGTCCGTGCGAGGCAGCCTGCTGCCAGGGTGGCGGGGCTGGGGTGGTGCCGCGAGGCAAGGCCAGGGGGCTCTGCGGAGGGCAGTCCCTTGTTTCCCGCACGCAGCACGCCTTTCCGCAGGAGGAAGTTACGAGTTGGCGGGCGAATGCCAGGCCAGGCGCGGGAGCGGAAGCAGCGCCACAGGTTCCTCCCCACCGGCTCCTCTGCGCGCGGGGAGGCTACCCCTTACCTGGGCGAGCGGGCACGAGAGACCCTTGCGGCTTACCTGGTCTGCGGTGCGGTGCGGAGCCGGCCAGCTGGCCGTGCGGTCTCTGCCGCGGGGCGGGGGAATGCCGCTGGCTGGCGGCGTGTCTGGATCTCCGCCTTCTCCCCAAGTTGAAGCTGATAGGTTAAGCCCGCTGAAGTTTTGGTGTCAGCCTGTTGTGGGTTATTGGTGGTTTTACGTTTGATTTTTTAGAATCTGCTGTAAGCCACTCTAAAAGTGTTAGAATAGGGGTGGGAAACTTGTGGCCCTCCGGTTACTTTTTGGGACTGCAACTCCCGTCATGTCTCATCATTGGCTATGCTGGCTAGGGCTGATGGGAGGTGTAATTGAACATCTGGGGGGCACGGCTTGCCTATGCCTGGTTTAGGTCGAGAGCCGTACCTGTAGGTGGGTGTCGCCCTTTTGATTGAAAGCAAGCTGATGAAGTCAATTATATTGGTTGACTTGTAAAGAATATTAGAGCAGCAATAAGTTTGTATGTTATCATTTGATGTAAGCTGCTTTTGTGGATCCTTCCAGATTGGAATTAAATAAAGTCTGTACAGCATTGCTTGCACTTGGGTGGGAAATAAGGCCTACTGGACTTTATGCTAAATATGCTTATGATTTCAGTGTAAGAAAAGATACTGTGCTTGCAGTTTTAATGAGGTGGGAATAATCCTGTATTACTGCTCTGTGTTAAAGACCCAACAAAGAGGTCCCTTGTGAACAAAAAGTGGAGATGATAGAGTGCTGGGTAAACTCTTAGACATGGGTCCTCAAACTATGGCCCATGGGCTGGATCTGGCCTGCCTGAGAGGTTTTGGGCTCACCTCGCCACAAGTCTAACGATCTAGTAACAATCTGGTGGTGAGAGAGGTTTTGAAGTTCCAACATCCTATTCGATTAATACTTTTATGGAACCAACTCAGTGCAAACTTCTGAATTCTCCAGATTCTTCATCAGGTAGATGGAAAACAAAGAAAAAAATAGAGGAAAAGTGTTGGGTGCTGCAGCCATTTAATCTACATTTGTTTCAATCTGCTGATGGACTGTGAAAGGAGACCAGAGACATCTATCAAATGCTGTGCTACTTTCAGGTTGCACTGAAGACCAACAATGGTTGATCCCCCATTTTAGACATTTTCAAAATTTAGCTTGTTACTCAGATCCATTTTAATCCTTAGATAAAACACACAGGTTCCTTGGCAGGTAGAAAACACGTACTTTTTAAAAAAAGAAAATGTTAATAGAAGACACATTGGGTATTTTTTCCTAGTAGCAGAATGGGACATCCTTTCAGAGAATTAGGTCCCAGGTATACAATCTCTGTCCATGGAAATTTCCTTCTGTTGAAAGGCTAAATCCTTTCCTTAGAGAATCCAGTGTTCTCTAAGTCACACAAAGCTAAATTTTCAGAACTAAATGCAGATTGTAAGGGCTTCAACATAGCTATTTTCTCTCTCTCTCCCCTCCCTACTTTTTACTGTTTGCCTTGTTAAGATCTCTGAAAATTCTGGAAACTTGGCCACTATTTTGTGACCTGTGAGTTGGCCTAATAAAGTTTTGAGAATTTTTCTTTTAATCAACATGCCTACCTTTGTTTTTTCTATTTTATACCTGTTTTTAAAGAAATGTGTTAAATTTTCAGAAATGGTTACAAGTTCATTTTTATGCTCTTAAATTTGGCTGATGAGGAAAAAAGAAAGTTTACATATTCATATTCTGAAAAAATAGTGGCAGAAGAATTAAATGCTGCTTCAATGGTATTCCATTCATACACTTGTTTTGTTTGTATTTCAAATTAGTGCATTGTAGGCCAATTAAATTGTATCAAATACTAGTGCTCCATTCCAGTTGGGAATAAACAATATATGATCAAAAATTTCAGGAGCAATTTTTAAAACTTGTCCGGTCAAAATATATACCCTAGTTCTTTTTTCAATTTAGCACTTTTCAAACTTGCAAACATGCATATTGGTGAGAATCATTTCATATGTGTTTGAGAGTATTATTATAATAATAATTTCATTTCTATACCACTCCACAGCTGAATATCTCTGGGTGGTTTACAGTCCATAAAACTGATGATAAAATACAATAAAAGCTAACAAAATCTGAAAAAAGCTTGAAACAGATTGAAAAGATAAAAACAATCACATGGAATAAAGAGTGACTCTGCGAAACAGCTTTGAGTAGCCAAAGTCTTTAAAAAGGAGGCCTTGTGCCAAAAAGATGACAAGATACAGTGCCAGCTGGGTCACAGTGGTTATTCTATAGATGAGGGGCCACCACTGAGTAAGCTCTCCCCCTTGTTACCCTTCACACTTCCCTTGAAGTTGGCACTTGAAGGAAGGCCCCTGAGGTTGAGCATAGTGTCCAAGTATTTCATGGTTAGGGGAGGTGCTTCAATAGGTATTGTGATCCTAAGCCGTTTAAGGCTTTATAGTTTAAAACCAGCATCTTGAATTGGGACCAGAAGCATACAGGTAGCCAATGCAAGTTAACTTGTGAATGTGTGATGGCAAGTTCATGTGGTTGGACGCTATGGCTATGACCAACAGATTGTGCAAGTGGGCTTCCTGCTGACTCCATCCAGGTATGGCCTCTCGCACCCCTTGAAAAAGTTGTTTCTGATAGTTGGGACAAGGTGGAATTCTCCAGTGGGCAGGACCCTCCCTACCAACTGACCCACCTCCAGAGTGTCAGGACTCATTGGAAACCACAGTCTGCCTTCAGCTGACCTATGAAGTGCTTTGTCGTGTGCACACTGTCCCAGGATGCCTGTGTGTGCACAAGCAGCTGCCCGGATGGATGAGAACTCAAGCCCAGATGATGAGGATAAGATTGTTGTGGAATTTTGGCATGTTGAAGCAGTAGACCAAGGTTGGGAAAAGGCTGGAGAGAGAGAGAGGGGGAGAAGTTGACAGTTTGGGCTGATGAGAGCCCCTGTTGATCTACCTGTGGGAATAGGGGAATGCGGAGGAGGAGGGGTTGACAGTTCAGGCTGATGTCAACCAACCCATGGAGAGGAGGTGGAACTGGAGGCTGGACATGTCTCAGCAGTGGAGAGGGGATGGAGGGCTTGGTAGCTTGGACATAGAAGTCCCTCCTGAAGAGGTGGTGCTGGTTGCCAGGCAACAGCACCGGCAGGCACTTCAATTGGGTGAGAAACGATTTCACAGTCAGGCACTTCAATTGGGTGAGAAACGATTTCACAGTGCTCCACTCTCGGAAGCGAGAGGCCAAAGGGGTTAGAAAGAAGCAAGGGAATGATGGATGTTACAGTGGCTCAACATTTCACTCTGGCTTGTACCAATAAAG